CCCAAAACCCCAAAACCCCAAAACCCCAAAACCCCAAAACCCCAAAACCCCAGAAATATGAATAGGGATAGAATAAATAATAAATAGTAATCCTGGTTGATAAAAATGGGATACATTAGTAATTGATTATGCACAATTATGCTCATTGTTCTTGCCTCAGCCCAGCTAGAGGCTGACAAACTGTGAATTTATAAATCACAGGGAAATATCTGGAGAATTTCCTCTGCAGCGCCGGGTGAGGGTATTATAACAGTCCCCTATCCAGCCCAAAACAAAGAGATAGAGTTCGGCATATGAGAAAAGGTCAAGTGTGGAGATGATGAAGGATACGCCTTAATGACTGATCTCGGTACAGGAAAATGCACTCTTTTAACTGGTAAGACATATTGAGTCATGTTTAGACGATAAAAAAAACCCAAAAGTCACTCCTCTTGGGAACGAAGACTTAAAGTTGCTATTTCAGAATACAAATGGCCCAGAGTGAGAATTTGATGCAGCTCAAGACTATAAATTTCAAATGGTTCTTGAATGAAATGGGGATGATGAAGACTTTTCAATAGACACTTCTGTTGAACCAGATTCCTGTACTTATGCAGTAAAAGCCAAAAAGAAGGCTGGATGTCCTTTCATTAGAGGAAATGCTATCTGGAAGTTCTTAGATAAATACTCTGTTTATGTTACCCCAGCTGTAATAATTGTTGGAGCTTTCTTTCTGATGGTGGGAGGATATTTCAAAAAGATCAGCATTTTCTTAATTGTTCTGACATCAGTTGTTTTCATTAGTATATTCGCTCTTTATGCATTCATTCTTCCATATTCTACCCCTGAATGGGCAGGATGGGTGATTATAATCTGTTCAGTAATTGCAGGATTAATAGCGGGATTTTTCCTTGCGACATTTCTGAAAATTGGAGTTTTTCTTCTTGGCGCATGGGGAGGTGCCATGCTTGCCACAACATTATATGGCTTATTTGTATACAAGATATCAGATAAGAGCTATGTTCTTTACATCATGATTGCAGTCTTTGCTCTTATTATTGCACTTCTTTCACTAAAACTTCTGAAGCTTGTTCTTGTGATATGAACATCATTTATTGGCGCATACATGGTAGTCCGAGGTGCTGCTGTCTATATCGGAGGTTATACTAATGAGTTCCAACTAATCAATGAAATCCAAGCAAAAGATATCGACAACATCCCATGGAGTGCTTATGTCTACATCCTCTCCATCTTCGCACTTGCCGTATTAGGAATCCTCTTCCAGCAATACAGATTCAAGCTCCTATCAAGGAAAGGAAGATCTGGTGACTACCAAAACCTCTAACTTTGCTCTCACCATTCCTTCCAATTTACCCATTTTCCCAAGGGGTTTTGGGGTTTTGGGGTTTTGGGGTTTTGGGG